GGGTTTACTAACTTGGATTGGCTAAGGCTTTTAAGAGGACAACACTAATAGGAAGAAGGAAGTGAAAATGGAAACTTGTATTTCTTAAATTCAAGATTTTACACACTTTTTGGCTTGTTACAAAATGGAGGGCACTACCCCTTTATATAGTGATTACAAGAAGATTCTAGTCCACACATTTTCTAGAGACACCTAGACCACATATCAAGATATTTTCCTAAAATTCTCTAGATATTCTTTATAAAACTACATATCTTACTTAGATATTTATATAGATTTTTCTAGTAGATATTTATATAGATTTTTCTAAATAATGCTTCTAGAAATGCTATGCATGTTGGGCCTTTTAATTGATTTGGGCTTATAAGCAAAATCCTTAAGCCCATATTATTTAGTCCAAAAATCAAGTTTACTTCTCAACATCCCCCCTTAAACTTGATTTTGCTACTCCAAGTAGAGTTCTTAACTTGCGGAACACATCATGCTTGAGTAGCTTAGTGAGAATGTCGGCGATCTGCTCCTGGGAGGTTACATATTTAAGCTGCACTTCTTTCTTTGCAATGCTTTTTCTTATGAAGTGATATCTTGTATCAATATGCTTGCTTCTATCATGGAATACTGGGTTCTTTGCCAATGCCAATGCCGATTTGTGATCAACATGGATTTCGATTGGCTCTTCTTGTGATACTCCAAGCGTCTTCAACAAGTTTCTAAGCCAAATCGCATGGCAGACACTTGATGTAGCTGCAACATATTCAACTTCACATGTAGATAGTGCTACGATCGATTGCTTCTTTGAGCTCCAAGTGAAAGCTGTGTCGCCCAAGTAAAACACGTACCCAGTCGTACTCTTTCTATCATCACTATCTCCGCCCCAATCGCTGTCACTATATCCAACAAGTTTGAACTTATTAGATGATGAATAGACTAAGCCATAATCAAGCGTACCTTTGATGTAGCGAAGAATTCTCTTTGCAGTTTTCATATGAGTCATGGTAGGTGTCTCCATATAGCGACTAATGAGCCCAACTCCAAAAAGGATATCTGGTTTTGTGCACGTCAAATATCTTAGACTTCCAACAAGACTCTTAAAAAGTGTTGGATTTACTTTTTCACCTTCATCATTCTTCGACAACTTGATTCCGCATTCGACGGGGGTGCATACGGGCTTACAATCCTCCATATTGAATTTTTTTAGAATTTCTTTTGCATATTCCTCTTGTGAGATGAAAATGCAGTCCTCCATTTGCTTTATCTCTATCCCAAGATAGTAGGCCATGTGGCCGATATCCGTCATCTCAAATTCTTGAGCCATGACCTTCTTAAACTCAGTGATCATACTTTGATTATTTCCTGTAAATATAAGATCATCTACATACAAACAAACAAGCAAAATATCTCCTTTCTCATTTACCTTTGTATAAAGGGCATACTAGTGAGGGCATTTTGTGAAGTTATTTTCTAGAAAATACTTGTCAATTCTACTATTCCATGCCCTTGGAGCCTGTTTCAACCCATATAAAGCCTTTTTTAGTTTCAAGACTTTACCTTCATGTCCTTTTACTTTATAACCCATTGGTTGCTCCACATAGATTTCTTCTTGGAGATAACCATTTAGAAAAGCTGATTTCACGTCCATTTGAAATATCTTACACTTATTTTGGCTGCAAGAGAGATAATTAATCTTATGGTTTCTAAACGAGCAACAGGAGCAAATACCTCTTCATAATCAATTCCCGACCGTTGGTTGTAACCTTTGGCAACCAATCTTGCTTTGTATCTTTCTACGTCTCCTTTAGTGTTCTTCTTTTCCTTGTACACCCACTTAACTCCGATCGCTCTCTTTCCTTTGGGAAGAGTTGTCAGCTCCCATGTGTCATTTTTCTCTATAGCCTTAATCTCTTCATCCATAGCATCTCTCCATCTTTTATTTTGCACCGTGTCTTCATATCCTATTGGTTCACAATCGACAAAAAGACAAAACAGTGTGAGATCATTTTGATTTTCGGTTACCTCATATAGCTCTTGTAGGCTCCTCATCCGTGGTGTCCTTTCGCTTGAACTTTCTCCTTGTGAAGATGATGGAGAAGCATTTCCATGAGTAGGTGATAGAGGTGGACTGATAATCTCTTGCTGCTCTCCATTCTTTTGTTCTTCTTCATAAAAGAATGGTAAGAAGTCATAGTCTTTTTCTTGGTCACCCCAATCCCAAGCTCCTTCTTCATCAAACTCGACATCTTTACTTATGGTGATCTTCTCATTGCTTGGATTATACAACTTGTAGCCTTTAGAGCGAGAGTCATAGCCGATGAAGACATACCTTTCACTTTTGTCATCTAACTTGGACCGTTTTTTATCTGGTACATGAGCATATGCAATGCTCCCAAATACTCGTAAGTGAGAGATGCTGGGCTTTCTTCCACTCCATGCTTCTTGTGGTGTCTTATTCCACACACTTCTAGAAGGTGATCGGTTAGACAGATACACGGCGCAATTAACAGTTTCAGCCCAAAGTTCTTTGGGCAATCTCTTACTTTTGAGTATGCAGCGGGTCATGTTAAGAATGGATCTATTCTTTCTTTCTGCTACTCCATTTTGTTGTGGAGAGTATGGAACCGTCACTGGACGACGAATTCCATTCTCCTCACAATATTTCTCAAACTTTTTGGAGGTGAACTCTCTTCCTCTATCCGATCTCAAGGCTTTTATACTATATCTGCTTTCTTTTTCAACAAGAGCTTTAAACTTCTTAAAAGTTTCAAAAACTTCAAATTTTTGTTTAAGAAAATAGACCCAAGTCTTTCTACTAAAATCATCAGTAAAAAGAACAAAATAATTGCTCTTACCGAGAGAGCTTGGGTTAATTGGCCCACAAACATCGGAGTGTACAAGTTCTAACGGCTTCTTAGCTCTTGTAGATGCTTCTTTTGAAAAACTTTTTCTCGAATGCTTTCCAAGTAAGCATCCTTTACATAATTGATCCGCGTGATTTATTGGAGGCAAACCTTTCACCATTTTCTTCTTACTTAACAACTTTAAGCCTCCAAAATTAAGATGCTCAAATCTCAAGTGCCAAAGTCAAGATGAATCTTTAAAACAAGCTTTTAAGCATTTAGCGACATCATTTTGAATGCTTAACGCAAACATTCTATTTCTTGTCATAGGGACTTTGACAATCAAAATTTCTCTTTGATCTCTTATTGAAAGACTATGATCCTTCAAATGAATATCATAGCCCTTCTCTAAGAGTTGTCCCAAACTTAAAATATTGTTCTTCATATTGGGCACATAATAGACATTTGAGATAAACTGATGCGTACCATTTTTTAAACGGATCAAGATTTTACCTTTTCCTTTCACTGGGATTTTGGATTCATCTCCAAAGGTAATGTTACCGCTTACTGATTCATCAAGCTCCACAAAGATGTTTTTTCTTCCACACATATGGTTGCTTGCTCCTGTATCCAAATACCAAGTATTCTTTTCTCTGTTCTCTTCACCTTTGTAAGCGAATAGTAGTGCAGGATCTACTTCACTTTCCCAGCAAGCGTAATTGGCTTTCTCCTCAACTTGGTTAGTAATATTTCTACATTCTGAAGCATAATGACCAAATTTTTGACAATTGTAACATTTAATTTGAGATTTGTCATACCTTGGTCCTTCATTTTTCCTCGTACCTTTTTCTCTTCCGCGACCTCTAGTAGAAAATGAACTTTGTCTTCTTTCCTCCTTGTAGAATGCAATTCTTCCTCGATCTTGGCCTCGTCCTCTTCCTCTTTGGCTTCTTCTACTATTGAACCTTCCTTCACCCTCGTTCAAAGTGAGCTTTGTTTGAAGAGCTTGCTCTAATGGCTCTTCTTTCACTTTCTTCCTTAGTCTTTCCTCATGGGCTTGTAAAGATCCCATGAGTTGATCGACACTCATACTATCTAGATCTTTAGATTCCTCAATGGCTACAACTATGTAGTCAAATTTAGAATCTAAAGACCTAAGTATCTTCTCAATTACTCAAGTGTCGTTCAACTTTTCTCCATTCCTTTTTAATTGATTCACAATAGCTAATACTCTAGAGAAGTAATCAGAAATTGATTCCGATTCTTTCATATGTAAAGCTTCAAACTCACCTCGAAGTGTTTGAAGTCGAACCTATTTCACCTTCTCAACTCCTTTGTGGGAGTTTTGCAAGATCTCCCATGCTTCCTTGCTTGTAGTAGCACAAGCTACTTTCTCGAACATGCCTTCATCTAAGGCTTGATAGATGAGGGTGAGCACCTTCTTGTCCTTCTTCCTTGCATCCTTCAAACTATCCTTTTGTGCTTGGGATAGAGCAACCTCGTCTTGTGGCTCCGTGTAGCCTTTCTCTACGATCTCCCATGCATCTTGCGACCCGAGCAATGCTTTCATCCTTATACTCCAATTGTCGTAGTTATCCTTATTGAGTTGGGGGACTTGAAAAGGAATCATCCCACTTGCCATTTCTCACAAGAACCTTGGGGCTCTAATACCAGTTTGTTGGAGGAAAGATGGGTTTACTAACTTGGATTGGCTAAGGCTTTTAAGAGGACAACACTAATAGGAAGAAGGAAGTGAAAAAGAAAACTTGTATTTCTTAAATTCAAGACTTTACACACTTTTTGGTTTGTTACAAAATGGAGGGCACTACCCCTTTATATAGTGTTTACAAGAATATTCTAGTCCACACATTTTTTAGAGACACCTAGACCACATATCAAGATATTTTCCTAGAATTCTCTAGATATTCTTTATAAAACTACATATCTTACTTAGATATTTATATAGATTTTTCTAGTAGATATTTATATAGATTTTTCTAGATAATGCTTCTAGAAATGCTATGCATGTTGGGCCTTTTAATTGATTTGGGTCTATAAGCAAAATCCTTAAACCCATATTATTTAGTCCAAAAATCAAGTTTACTACTCAACAGGTGGCTGATGACCCATCAGTAGTGGTTTCTGTGGAGTCATCCCCTGCGGTTGCTAGGCAAAAGGCACCGTTGGGCTCAGCATGTAAAATGGAAGTGGGGGCGGGAGTGGTGGTTCGGGTGCGGTTAGGGATGGAGGTGAAGGTGGAGGTGGAGGTGGAAGTGGAGGTGGAGGAGGCCTGGGCGGCAGCTGTAGAAAATTACCATAGTCATACGAGGCCACAATACCACCCGGTGGCTGCAGATACCGCTGAGACGGTGGCTTTGGAAGTGATTGGCACAAATATGGAGAGTAGGAAATTTGACCTTTGATTGATGGCCGGGGCACCATATGGGATTGAAATGGGTTGTTTTGAGGAGGATTAGGTTGTTGTGCCGGCATTGAAACATTCTGATCAGAAACGGGTTTCAACATTGGAGTATTGGAAACAGATGAGAAAGAAGTCAAGGGTGATGAAGACTTCACAAGACCAGCATTTTTTGCTTCTTCAGCTGCATATTCTGAAAGGATAGAGGTGAAAATATACTGGGACAACCTCGAAGTGGCCAGCTTATCCGTAAGCTCAGCCGCAACAACAGCGGCAGCTTTTTCCGTTCTTTGTGCTGGTTTTGTATTGGTATCTGCTGATGCTATAAATTCTTTTGAGTCTGTAATATGGTCTTCATTCAGATGCTTCCGCATATTCGCAGCCATTGGAGTGTTGAAGACCGATGAGAAAGGAGTTGAAGGTGATGAAGACTTCACAAGCCCAGCATTTTTTGCCTCTTCACCTGCAAACGCAGAAAGGACAGAGGTCAAAATATACTGGGACGAGCTCGAAGCAGCTAGCTTATCTGCAAGCTTTGCTGCAGTAGCTTTTTCTGTTTTCTGGGCTGGATTTGTATTGGTGTCTGCCGATGCCATTGATGCTTTTGAGTCTGTAATATGGTCTTCATTCAGACGCTTCAGCATATTTGCAGCTTCTTCTGCCTGTACTTGTGCTACCTGAAAATTGATTAGACGCATAGATATTAGCATTATTTAAATCCGATCCAGTAATTCATTCTTGATACCAAATTATGATTAAGCTAACCTCAGTTTGGCAAAAATTTTAAATTATTTATATGGGTCAAATTTCCTTTTTAACCACTCATTCCAATGCGAGGAGTATTATTCGCTTATCCATAACTCATTTCTCTATAATTATAAATAAAATTGTTTGTAAAAAAAATTCCAAACGGATGCTAAATTCCAGACCAAGATTCCTATGAAGTTTCAAAGGGGAAAAAATCTACAACTAAGACATGAAGTAGATAAAATTTCTAGATTTGTTAAAGATTTAATAATGCGAAGAATAGAACCAGCCATGGAGGTATTTGGTCCATGAAAAAAAATTCCTACGAATATAAACTAGGAGACAGGATTGTCATACAAAGATTTTTTCGTTTTCTTGAAGAGTGAACATCAACAGCAACCATACGATACGATAGACGGCCTCAATTCTCCTGAGATATCACCATGCTAGGTGATGGTTCCACTAAACTGCCAGTTGCACATTGATCGTATTGGCATATTATCATTAATCTCAATCATCTAATAAGCGATATCTCTTCCTTGTTAAGTGATACGTTACTTTTGCTTCCATAAGGATAAATGAATTCATTTTCCCATGAAATCTGATCAAAATTAAGATGCACCATTTTTGAGCAGCCAACTACTTTCAAGAAAGAAAAGGAGAACATAATGAAGGCAGGTTGCATCATGGAATAGTTTAAATATGCAAGTGCAGTAATCGATGGACAAACCTGCATTTGCATACGAACATTCTCCAGCTCAGATTTCTGAAAAATATACAAGTAATTAACCACAAAAATAACCGCACACCACCCAAGGTCGTCAAATTTTGCAAATATGGAAAGAAATAAGCAATTCTTGTAAATGTATGATATTGTACCTGTTCGTAAAGTGCATCTTGTAACTGTGATATAAGGATAACTCTACTAGCTTCGACAACTTTAAGTTTCTCAATGCACTGAATCAAAACAAGTTCTTCCTTCTCTAGTTCTTTGACTATGGTCTTCCGCGTTGAATCCTTGGCTACAGAAGGAAGAAGCAAATACTTGTTAACAAAAATCAGAAGAAGACTGCTGAAGAAAGAATATTTGGCTAGGCTTAAAACATACTTCTTAAGCTTTTTATTTTTTTTGACTTTTTGGCTTAGCCAAAACATGTTCATATACTCTTTAATACGACTTAAAGGTCAAAGCTTTCTTTAAGGGCTTTTTTGGTAGCATTGCCCATTCAATAACTACGAACCATTTCCAGCCTACACAGAAATGATATTTTTTTTCGAATTACCGGCCTACCTTTTGTTAAGGAGACTTTGACATCTTCTCCTATCTTACTCACACGTTGGACGGCGGACTTGCACTTATTGATCTCTTCATTTTCAATGGGATGTTCGCTGACCACCGAGTTAAAAGCTGACACAATTTTTTCTTCTGTGCTGCCAATGGTCAATTTCTGGTTCAAATGCAAATGCGTACAGAATAAGAACCAAAAAAATGTTAGTAAAGGACAGATATATTACATGATTAAATCTTAGCACTGCATATAGCATTAATGACATGTTTGGTTGGAAGGATTGGTACACGACAGTACTCAAGAAGAAAAAAGTAGTATCTTGTTCACTATATTATCTAATACTGTGCACACCATACATGAGCAATTAACCCCTACCGTTTTGATTGATCTTGAGTCACCCTCTATTATGATAGAACGAGAACGTTTCTTCCCAAAATCCAACGATGAAGGCAATTCTTCTCCAAGCATTGCATCTTTTAGGCTCTCAGCATAGGATCCAAAAATTTTCCTTTCTTCCCATCTATTGACCTAATGATAAGATTATCATATTAGTCAAGCCACTCCAACCTACCAATTTGGTGCCCACCTATAGTTGTTGAAATCTATAATTCTAACATGGGACAAAATATGATGTAATAATCCGGATTAGAACAGTTTAATAAACGCCCTTCCAAACAATCTATGAAATAAATGATTGTCAAGAATTATAGAAGACAAGGACAAGGAAATTTCTTACCAATCTTGAGACAGCCTTCTTTCCACGATCATCCCCATGCTTCACAACATCCTTGAGTGCCGAAGGAAGAACATTCCAAAATTTGGAGACAAATTCATTTCCGTTCTCCATACTGTTCTTCAGGATATCATGCGCAAGGTACAGAAGATGCACCTTCTTCACCATCTCTGAACTATGGAATTGTTTGTCCCACGTCGCAACAACTTGCTTTGCTTTACTACGGTGAAAAATGCACCATTGCGACAAAGCTGCAAAGAAAGAAAAGGTAAAAGTATGTATAGAAAAGATTGACAAGCATAAGGTAGCAAAAAAATGTAATTATTTAGGGAAGTGCTATATGTACATAATTATCTATATAATGGTATCCATAATTACACGTGGCACTGCATCCAACCTTTAATTCAAGTCTCACACTTGCACGTCAACAACCGGATGATTGCCACATCACATTATGGATATCATTATGCGCAATAATTATGTACAAGTAGAATTTTTCAATTATTTAATGCAGTTAAGACTAGTCAGAAGTGGCAGAGAATGTTTGGTTGTGCTTAAAAGTAGGTCAAACTTACTTTCAGTTATTCATTTTGCCAAACAAAATTTTCAATGTTTCTTTATATTAGCGAAACTTTGCTAACTTTTAACCACAGCTGGACATGCTCTACCTATAGATGCCATAACATACTATAACTAGTGCAATCTCGGATTTTTCCTTTTTGACGTAGCGGAAATATTATAGGGAAGATGAACAATCACAAATTGAGAAAATTCTCAAGGAAGATTTTATTGAATTCCAGAACTATTGCCTCTAAGGGCTTACAACTGATTAAATAGTAGAAACCTAGGAAAATCCGAAAAATAAAATAAAATAAAATAAAGATATTTTTTCCCAAAAATGGAAAATATAAGATAATTACTAAGATGGAAAATACTTATCTTCAGGATCATCCTCCAACAAACGGAATTTAAATAAGAATTTCATGGAAAGAGATATTGCAAAAATGAAAATTACCATAAATAGCAAAGACGATTAAACGAGGGCCTAAACGATGGATTTTGCCCGAAATTGGCCTTGGCTCGGCTCCAATCAAATTAGACTAGTGATTTGCCAAAAACGAGCAAACCCAAAGTCATCATGAAATCATTTACCCCTTTTGCCAACTTTTGCCTTGTGATGATCCTATTTTGCCATAAACTCTAATCTCTTATGCACTTCATCACTTTTCCATTTCAGAATGAAGTAAATCTGTGGAGAAATCGTTGTGCTCAATCAAAGTCTCGTCAAATTTGTGGGCAAAAATAAATCTTAAACCAAGATGATCTTAGGGTAGTAGAAGCCATAAAGAAGGAAAAAGTAGACAAAGTAGCATAATATGTTTTTCTACTTAAACTAGTCACCAAATTAAGGCATACAAATTAGAAATATATTTTGCAAAATCTCAAATGAAATACGTGATAACATTCATTTACAATAAGTGGAGAAGAATTATTAGACTTGTATTAATATCTTCATCAACGAGAAGTTGGCGTTTTAGTAAATAGAAATCTTATTCTGGTTCCAAGTTGAAGTCTAAACTGTTCTAGGAATGCTTATGCTCACAAAAAAGTAAAATCTAATTGTGATCTAAACTTATGAATGAACAAGTATTGAAGAATCATAACTCACAGGAACCATATAAGTACATCGTAAGATAACACAAAAGACGGAAGAACACGTGTAATTAATTAGGCAATAAACCATTAATCATTTTTAATTTTTCCATCATTACATTAATAGCAGAGAAATGCTCAGCAACCGAGCTCGGGAAATCAAATAATAGATCAAGAGATATTATTAACACTACATGAAAGAATACGTGTAACATGGTAGGTAAGAAACCATTATTCACAGTTAATCTTATCCATGCTAAACTCCCAAAATGGAATAAGTTATTAAAAAAAAAAGAAGAAGAAGAAGAAGACGACTTTCCATTTTAAGCCTTCTCATCATAAAAACATATAAAAGAAAAACCGAAATGATCTTATGGTAGTAGAAGCCACAAAGAAGGAAAAAATAGACAAAGTAGCATAGTAAGTTTTTCTACTTAAGCTAGTCGCCAAATTAAGGCATATAAAGTAGAAATATATTTTGCAAAATCTCAAACGAAATACGTGATAACATTCGTTTACAATAAGTGAGAAGAATTATTAGACTTGCATTAGAAAATCTTCATCAACAAGAAATTGGTGTTTTCGTAAAGAGAAATCTTATTCTGGTTCCAAGTTGAAGTCTAAACATACTGAATCTAGGAATGCTTATGCTCGCGAAAAAGTAAAATCTAATCGTGATCTAAACTTATGAATGAACAAGTATGGAAGAATCATAACTCACAGGAACCACGTAAGTATATCCTAACATAATTTGAAAGGCAGAAGAACACGTGTAATTAGGTAGGTAATAAATCATTAATCATTTTTCTTTTTACATCATTCCATTAATAGCAGAGAAACGTTCGGCAACTGAACTTGAGAAATCAAATAATAGATCCAAAGATATTATTAACACTATACATGAAAGAACACGTGTAACATGGTAGGTAGGTAAGAAACCGTTATTCACAGTTAATCTTATCCATGCTAAACTCCCAAAATGGAATAAGTTATTAAAAAAAAAAGGAAGGAAAGAAAGAAGACTTTCCATTTTAAGCCCTTTCCTTATAAAAAAAAACATATAAAAGAAAAACCCTATTTTCATCTAATTAAAAAAACCATCAACCAAAAACCAAATTACATCAAGGAAGATCCATGGATATATTTAAGATGAAAAATTCCCTGCTTTTTGTTTAATTTTAATAATTATATCGTAGCATAAAACTCAATTTATCAAATTCTATAGACATGCACAAAATCTATCAACTAATTAATTCACTTGAATAGCCAACAGCTGAACACATAAAAAATTGATATGTGAAGACCTTTTTTCTTTTTCTCAAGAAAAACATAAAGAAATTATGAGCGTGTCTATAATTTTCAGTTGAAAACCAGAACAAAATCATCATAAATAGAAAAATAAATAATTGAGGGATATTTATACTTTCAATAAACTGATGCGTGTTTATAAGCTTTGAGAGCTTGTCTGCAAGTATCTCTTCATTGAACACACTATTCATCCCACCTCTCTGAATGCCCCCTTCTCCTCCACTATTCCACTACACAAACATAGATATATAAGCAACACAAGACATATAAATCTATTTCATTCAAGAGGAAACCCTAGTTACCTGGGAAAAATGAAAAAGAAAAATGATTAAATCTTTAAATAGAAAGGATTATATCTTTAACCAATTAAGACAAACCGACTCCAAAAAGTCACACAATTGATTAAATGCAGAGGAGTAGGAATAAAAGTGCAAAAAATTGTTAAATTGGGTTAAAAAAAAAAAAAAAAGGCAAAAAAATTGACAGAACACTGAGGATATAAATTTGATTTACCTGATAAATTTATGAGAAAATAGTGAGGGCCACTTCCAAAACCCTAGAGAAGCTTTATAAAATGAGGGAAATAATGAGAAAATAGGTGTGTTCTACGAGAGAGGTTAATGAGGAATTGAGTTCATTTAAGTGTGTTGCGAGTGAAAATTTGAAGTGGGGGATGTAAGCAAATCTTGTATTCTTGTATTTATCTCTAGACACGTGTATTTTCTAGTTATTATTACAGATTGGAATTCGTTGTCTTCACCATACTGATTTCTGAGATCTGATTGTAATATCTTTGCAATTTTCTACCTATCATTTTTGCAACATAGGCAGCTACTGCCAACTGGCAGCAGCTCCCAAACATGCTGGCAGCACCACCACAAAGCTGCCGATTCTGGGTAGCAGTTCCGGACGCTGCAAAGTTGCAGTCTCATTCAACCCATTGATCAGATGTCTTCATCGTCAATCTTTTTTTCTCAAAATCAAATAATTTTGTATTTTCACTAATGTCGTTTAGGATCTCGTTCTTAATTGGTCCTAAACTTTCATCCGACCTTAATGTGGTATATTATTCACATAAGTTCACTATAATACCATCTAATACTATTCATTATAATTTTATAACAAATTTTTTATATGGTTCACACACCCAAAATAACCTAAAATTACACCAATTTATGGTCCAATTTAGGATTTATAAAATCTAACTGAAAAATACAAAAAAAAAATAAAAAAATAACAAAGTCCAATTTCTTTATTTTGTTTGTTCCATAAAATTAGTACTCCAGCTAATTAAATTTCAATTAATTTGTTCACCAAAAATGTCACTTTTCAAGAAAGGAAGCAAGAGCCTGCTAAGTTGTTAGACGCTTCATGGCTGAGAAAAAGATGGTTGCACCATATTACTAGAATTCATGCTTTTAATAGACAATATTGTTGATATTCATGTGTTACTTCGTATCACTGTGTACAAAATTATCAATGACGATGATAAGTGCAGTCATTGTAGGAAAAGAAAAAAATATTACAATGTAAACGAGGGGTAAGAAATTAACAGGGTCTAATAATGGCTTTAAAATATATAGAACTTTCTGCTACAAAGAGGATCCCTTTGCAATATACTAATCAATGAGCTATACCTCCAGTCGCATTGTAAACTAATGGTCTTAGATTCATGAAAAATATGCTGGTCATTCTCATAACATTGTTCTCATATTGCCTGCCTTTTTTGCATCATGGAAAGTCCAAATCGGTATCGAAGTCCATACAGCTTAGAAAAACAGGCACACAATTGTCTTAAACCTTTGCCAAAGTTGCTTTTTTACTTCCTTTCAAATGTAGCACAAATGGTGCCTAAAATTTTCAGTAGTCACATCTAAACAACAAAAATTACCAACAGAAACAGAATAACAATGTTAAAATTACCATGCCACGAAACAATTAAATATGAGTCAGAAAATTAACCTACAAATGTAAAACAAGTTATGAAATGCAGGACAATATATATTCATGTTTGCTCACGGTGAAAAATTATGAAACCTCTCTGAGTAACCATATCTCTAGATATCATTATCAGCAAATTTAATATTTTACATGGTTTGAAAAGCAATAGAAAATTGTACTCTTCCATTGAGTGATCAAAAATTACAAAAACTTTATAACAGAAAGAAATTTCATTAGACAAACAACAATGGGAAGTGGCGAAAGGGAGCCTGAACTAGCCCTAAAGATGGATAAATAGGAAATCATAGCCAGCGCTACCATTTGAAAAAAGACCGTACTAATAAGTTTCTCACTGTAATTGACAAAGGTTACCCTACAGCATTCCAGTTGCCTGAAATGGGGCAAGAAGAAGCAAAGTAGGTGTTGCATGCAGTTGTTGCGGTACTGGTCATGTTTGTGACGCCGGGTAGGATAGTAATTATCCTATTGGCTTGTTGTAGCAGATAATTTTCAAGAAAGAAATGAAAGAAAAATGCCCAAAATCCAAAGAAAATACTCTGAAATCAACTCAATATTATTAATAATGTAGAATGACAAAAATTAACCCACAAGCTAGGTTAAATAGCTGCAAAATACGAAATTGTAGAAAAATTACCAAAAATGGCAAAATTCCGAAATTACACTAGAATAAAATATTAAGTAAAAGAAGTAGGTTGCCAAAAATTTGGCTCAATTCGAGTTTTCTAACACATGGAAAAAGGGAACGAAATATTATCATAAATAGCAAAAAATAACTAAAAATTGAATTTTGGAAAGGAAAACAATGGATTTTGAGCTCGAAATTGATGCTCAATGAGGATAGCTAGGTGGCCATGACGTGTGCGCCGAAGAGAGCTTTCCAAATTTAGGTCATAATAGTGATTTTGATAACCGTAACCAAAGTTATGGTCAAATTACCAGAAACGTCAAATTCTCCCAATTAAGGAAATAATTGCGATTCGCTTCCCATCTTTGCGCCGATCCACTATCTCATGGTATCTCAGCGCCATCATTGTGTTATCTAATAAATCAACATCATCGACTCGAATTCTCTTGCATTAGTTTGCTGATGGGATAATGTCGATGGCTGATGACCCATCATTAGTGGTTTCTGTGGAGTCATCAGCGGCGGTTGTTGGGCAAAATGCACCATTGGGATCAGCATGTAAAATGGATATGGGGGGTGGGGTGGGGTGGGGTGGGGTTAGGGATGGAGGTGGAGGTGGAGGTGGAGGTGGCCCGGGCAGCAGCGGCACAAAACTACCATAATCATATGAAGCCACAATACCACCCGGTGGCTGCTGATACTGCTGAGATGGTGGCTTGGGAAGTGATTGACACAGATATATGGAGTAGGAAATTTCACCTTTGATTGATGGCCGGGGTACCATATGGGATTGAAATGGATTGTGTTTGAGGAGGATTAGGTTGTTGTACTGGTATCAAAACAATTTGATTAGAAACGGGTCTTGACATTGGAGTATTGAAAACAGATGAGAAAGAAGTCAAGGGTGATGAAGACTTCACAAGACCAGCATTTTTTGCTTCTTCAGCTGCATACGCTGTAAGGATAGAGGTCAAAATATACTGGGACGAGCTCGAAGCGGTCAGCTTATATGCAAGCTCAGCCGCAATAACAGCGACAGCTTTTTCCGTTCTTTGTGCTAGTTTTGTATTGGTATCTGCTTGTTGCAGAAGCTCTCTTCAAAGATCTTCAAATCGATAATTTTTGGGCTCAGTCCAACGTGCATTTCTCTACCAACAACCAATCCAATCGGCTCCAAACCACAACCAATATAATTCACCTCAGTTGCTATTCAATTTTACCCATGTAGGACAAGAAAAAGCGATGATTTGTGGCCACAAAAGCTAGGAGAAGACACCACAAAAGTATGCTATAAAGGAACCACCAATTACACAAAGTAAACAAGCGTTTTCAACACTTCTAGAGGTTATTTTTCACACATCAAAGGGGGCCGCTGGGATTCCACTTTTTCTTACACAAAACCTCACAAATCATACAAGAAAGTGGCTAGTATTTTATCCTTATATATACTCTAAGGTTAGGCTTTTAGTTGGACCTTTAAGGGACTTAAATGGGCCAAGATTTAAGCCATTCAAGAGGGAATACAATTGGGCCAGGTGTAGCTCATGAACTTGGTTTGGTTTTTGGACTTATTTTATTCACCGACCTATGCCTATGAAATAATATTAAATCACGTTAACATCATAGCCCAGGATATATTGGGTATAAAAAACCCAACACTACTGATTCTATAAATGCTTTTGAGCCTGTAATGTGGTTTTCATTCAGATGCTCCTGCATATTCGCAGCCATTGGAGTGTTAAAGACAGATGAGAAAGAAGTCTAGGGTGATGAAGACTTCACAAGCCCAGCATTTTTTCCCTCTTCAGCGCAGAAAGGACAGAACTCAAAATATACTTGGACGATCTTGAAGCAGCTAGCTTATCTGCAAGCTCTGCTGAAATAGCTGCGGCAGCTTTTTCCGTTTTCTGGGCCGGATTTGTACTGGTGTCGGCCGATGCCATCGATGCTTTTGAGTATGTAATATGTTCTTCATTCAGATGCTTCCATATATTTGCGGCTTCTTCTGCCAGTGCTGGTGCTACTGAAAATTGATTAGAGACATAGATATTAGCGTTACTTAAATCTGATCCAGTAATTCACTCTTGATACCAAATTATGATTAAACTAACCTCCATTTGGAAAAATTATAAATTATTTATAAATGGTAAAATCTCATTTTTAACCACTTATTCCAATGCGAGGAGTATTATTTGCTTATTCACCACTCATTTCTCTCTAATTATAAATAAAATTGTTTGTTAAAAATTCCCAAATGGATGCTAAATTCCAGACGAAGATTCCCTATAAAGTTTCAAAGGGGAAAAAAATCTACAACAAAGACACACAGTAGTAAAAATTTCTGGATTTGTTAAGGATTTAATAATGCAAAGAATAGCACCAGCCATAGCTGTGTTTGGTACAGGAAAAAAAAATTCCTACAAATATAAACTAGGTGACAGAATTGTCATACAAATATTTTTTCGTTCTCTAGAAGAGTTAACATCAATGGCAACCATATGATATGATAGACAGCCTCAATTTTCCTGAGATATCACAATGCTAGATGATGGTTCCACTACACTGCCAGTTGCACATTGATCGTATTGGCATATTATCATTAATCTCAAAATGGTGTATTAGCAATATCTCTT